TTCGATACCAATGGTTCTGTTTTTGCTTGATGTTACTGTTTGCCATCACGAAAATTGCTTAGGAAAACTTTCATATTAAGCACCAACTGTCTTAATTTTGCTTTTGCGTGATGTATACACCAGATTTGTGCTTTATGGCCGCAAAGATTACAGACACCTTGTTTGATGTTAAATACATTTTCCTACTTATACTGTACAATCATTTATTAATAGTTTATTGAAAAACTGTAAAGTAACATACAATATACATTATTCATCAACTATTTGGATGTATGATAGAACACCATGTTATCTTTTTTCCTTGGCCCTTAGCATAAAATATAGTATAGCAATATATTAGTATTATTTGTATTGTGCATTATTATTTTAAAAAAATTAAAAAACTTTGGTACCCCTGAACGATGAAATACCCTGTATAATATTAAATGCTTTAGACGAGTCTCTTGATGCAACATCAGCTAATATACAGGGTGTTTCAGTTTATTGTTGCATAACTTTAAGATTCGATATAACTTTCAAAATTAATGCATAAAGTCTATATAAACATGGGTCGAAAAATGCGTGGCTTCCGAAATACAGGGTGTTTAAATTTACTTTCTAAAATAGTTTTTTTAAATATTTCGAACAATATTTGATGTATAACAGTGAAAATTGGTATACAAGGGTTTTTTGGTATGACAAAACGAACCATGGGCATAGTTTTACTGTAGCCGCTAGAGGGCGCTCTACACTGTACCTGTAATGTATTAAAATGACCGAAAATTTTTTATTAGTGCAATTTTTTGCTTTTTGAATAAAAAAACTGATTCTTCGTACTTTTCAACATAAAAAAGCTCTCTTGTGAATTTTCGTTATAGTTAGCCGTTTTTGAGATATTTAGATTTTTAAGGTTCGATGCATTTTTAAATAGGTAACGTTAAAAAGTCAGTATCTCGATAATTTTTAGAAGTAGGCTGTCCCTGCAAATATTTTTGAAAATGAAAGCAGAATAAGGTTAAACGTCAATTAGTTGACAGTTAGTTTTGTTGTCTGTTGAAACCTGAAACGTTTTTTTGCAATCGTGAATGCAAGAAATTTAGTTTCTTTTACCTGTTTTTTTTTGTAAGTTTTATAAAAATGCCATTTTTATTCTCCAATCAAGAGTTAGCGGATTGTTAGATTTTGTGTATGGCTTTGTAAATGGAAACGCAGCAGAAGCAGCCAGAGAATACGCACGAAGATTTCCAAACAGACGACATCCAACTCGCTCAGTATTTGTAAGAGTGCATCGCCAAATAATTGAAAATGGTTTTGGAAATCTCCAAATATATCAAAACATAAATGGTCGTCAGCGCAGATTTACCCGTATGACTCTGCGTGAGTTTGATAGAGATCCGACCACAAGTGTTAGGAGAGTTTCTGGTGCCTTGGGAATTTCAGCAAGCCAAGTTCACCGTGTTCTTAGAAATGACCATAGACGTCCTTACCATTTGCAACCTGTGCAAGGACTACAGCCAGGGGACGGAGAACGAAGTATCACATATTGTCAGTGGATTCTTGAAAGAACTGATGATAATAATAGGGAGTTTTTAAGTAACGTTTTATGGACCGATGAGTCATGCTTCACTAGACGTGGAGTGGTAAATTTTCATAATCAACATATTTGGTCGCATGAAAATCCGCATGCAGTTCGGGAAGGAAATTTTCAGCATGAATTTAGTGTGAACGTGTGGATTGGTATCTACCGTAATCGACTATTTGGACCCTACATTTTGCCTGCAAGGTTAAATGCTGCGACCTTCTTGGAATTTTTAAAGGCTGGACATGCAAATATGTGGGATGATGTTATGTTAGATTTAAGAAGATTGGCCTGGTTCCAGCTTGATGGTTGTCCAGCTCATTATTCGAGAATAGTTAGAAACTGGCTGGACGAAAATTATCCAGAAAGATGGATCGGCCGTGGAGGACCAGTCGCCTGGCCTCCACGATCCCCTGACCTAAATCCATTAGATTTCTTTGTGTGGGGATTTCTAAAAGAAAAAGTGTACCAGACTCCCGTAACCACAAGAGATATGCTAATAGACAGAATCAGGAATCCATGTGATGAAATAAGGCCTTATTTGAATAATGCTATACCACGTTCGATCATTCGTAGATGTGAATTGTGTATTGAACAATTGGGTTTACATTTCGAGCAACTACTTTAGATCTTGTATGGTTGTCCTAACTATCCACTAGCATTTTAGTTGTAAATAATTAATTTAATTTGTTTAAATAAAAATAATCGGAAAATTAAACAAATTAATATTCTGTTTTTTGTGTTTATTTGGAGTTAGGAATTATTGCTGTGTTTAAAAACACAATCTAAACGATCATCTTAATTACTTGTAATGCCCAAATCGAAAATGTAAAAAAAAAATATTATTTTCCCATAAATAATTAAAAATGCATCGAACCTTAAAAATCGAAATATCTCAAAAACGGCTAACTATTACGAAAACTCACAGGAGAGCTTTTTTATGTTGAAAAGTGCGAAGAATCATTTTTTTTATTCAACAAGCAAAAAATTGCACTAAGAAAAAATTTTCGTTCATTTTAATACACTACAGGTACAGTAGAGAGCGCCCATGGTTCGTTTTGTCGCACCAAAAAACCCTTGTATACCTATTTTCACTGTTATACATCAAATATTGTTCGAAATATTTAAAAAAAAACTATTTTAGAAAGTAAATTTAAACACCGTATTTCGGAAGCCACGCATTTTTCGACCCATGTTTATATAGGCTTTATGCATTAATTTTAAAAGTTCTATCGAATCTTAAAGTTATGCAACAATAAACTGAAACACCCTGTATATGGGAAGTCCAATAGCAATACATTGTTTCACAAATTTAGGCCACCATGTATTTTACTTCGATGTGTTTTTTGAGCAATAGTCTAATCATATTAGACGAAAATACCCCTAGTTTGCCGAAATAATTGTAAAGTCTGGTTTTATTGTTGCAAGTTGTTCAGGGGGTATTTAAAACATGGGTAATTTTTGTGGGAACACCTTTTATTCGATAACAAAGAATGAAAAAACGTGTTCTTTGGGATTTACTATGATCTCACCAATTATTCGAACTTCCGGAATGGTCGGATGACCTGGGGGCTTTTTGTTGTTTACACTACTAGTAGCTGCAAATTTAGATACAAGTTCCTTTAAATATTTTCTACAGATAGGACGATTCGGGAAACGATCATTAAAAATCCTTTCGGTCTCGTGAAAGTTACGCGTCGCACCATAAATAAAAATCGCTTCGATTTTTTCTTCCAATGGACGAGAATTGACCATTTTAAAAATAGTTCAAGCAGTATCTAGCGCTAAAACTGAAAACTAAATAAGAATATTTTAACTGTACAATGATGTTTGTTTCCGTACTGATATTCTTGTCACTGTCAACAAAAAATAACAAAACAAGTTTTTATCGCTGTTGCTGTGGATACGGCAGGGAATTACACTTATTTATAGAGATATGCATGTTAGTAGGTTTGTGGTCAAGTAATTATTAAATGTACCACCATTTTTTAGTAGGTAAAAAGGCATTGACTTTATATTTTAGGGTTATAAAGTATCTTTTTTTCCAGGATGGCGCCCAGCGGCCATCTTGACATTGTCATATGTCAACTTTTATTCATTACCTCAAGTTTTATTTTTTTGAATTGATCCGTTCAAAAAATCAAAGGGGAGGGGGACATTAAAGAACAGCGCTGTATAGGAGACCTACAGAATGAGATCACACGCAAAAAGATCAGACTAACACAAAAAAAATTATGGCCGAAAACCCCTCAAAATGCAAATTTTAGCACTTGTTGGTAATACGACGATAGTTTCACGCAGATACTTGAAATTCTTCATATTCGTAGGATTCATACTTCTAAATAACCTCAACAAGGTTGGAATAGATTGGTCGGATAGTTTTTGAGATTTTGAATTGCTTATCCCAAAACACCTGTTTTCCGGTCATCACTTCTAGTTTATTGAGCAATATACACGGTTCGTTCAAAGGGCATTTAATAGCAAAATACACCAGTTTACCTTGTCGATATAAGAATCACAAACCATTCCGAAAGATAAATGTTTTTTTTATGCGAAAAACAAAGGGTTACGTTTTTTTCTTTTAAGCAAATTCAAACATTTCGTATTTCTAAGTAATTACAACAAAAGATGATGGACACTTCCGCTTTGTCTTAAACCGTGTATAATAACGTATGTTTTTTAATACCGTGGCAAGTTTGTTCAATTGTTCACAAATACGAAATGTTTGAATTTGTTTAAAGAAATAAACTTAATCCTTTATTTTTCACATAAAAATATTTATTTCGGAATGGTTTGTGATTCATGTCGACAAGGTAAACTCGTGTATTTTGCCAATGAATGTCCTTTGAACCGTGTATATTGCTCAATAAATTAGTAGTGATAGCGGAAAAAAAGGTGTTTTGGGATAAACAATTAGAAATTCTCAGGAACGACTTGACCAATCTAGTCCAATTTTGTTATGGTTCTTTAGAAGTACGAATAATACGGATTTGAAGAATTTCAAGTAGTTTCGTGAAGTTATCGTCGAATATCCTTTTACGTGTGGTCTCGTTTCGTAGGCCTCATAAATACTTAAACATCTTATTTGAAGAGTTTTTTCGTTCCTACCAACACTTTCGATTGAATCCCAAAAAAACACGTTTTCTTATTCTCTGTTGTCGAATAAAAAGTTTTCCCACAAAGACTGGTGTACCCATTCTATGCCATGTTTTAAATATCCCCTTGAACAACTTGCATCAATAAAACCAGACTTTACAATTTTTTCGGAGAAATTTGCTAATATGATTAGACAATAAATATCGACATAAAATGAATCTAACTAAACGGTTTAACATACATTTTGTCTGTGCCCGTAATGTTTCATTACCTGGCCTGCACTTCAAGCCTTTCTCCGCCAATGACTATTCTTTTCTGGAAATTTTATGAAGTTATACTTTTTCAGCTTATCTGAGCCGTAAGGATAACCACAACATCATCCTGGTCGACTGGTCCGAGCTGAGCACCTTCCCGTGGTACCAAACAGCGGTGGAAAACGTGCAGAAAGCCGGAAGCCACTTGGCGGAATTCCTCGGCCTATTCAATAACACCGGGGAGCTTCCGATCGGGAATGTGCACGTGATCGGCTTCAGTCTGGGAAGCCACGTGGCCGGCATCGCCGGGAAGATGTTGCCTGAGAAGGGTCTCAGGATACCGAGAATTACCGCGCTGGATCCTGCTCTGCCCGAATTCCCGCTGAATGGTGAGTGGGATTGCAGACATTTCATAGATTGTTTATCTAATCGAATTGCATGCTTTACGAATAACAGAAAAGGGGTCGGCTTGGAAGCGTCAGTCGTCCCTACAATTGTAGGGCGCGTTTATGGCCTCCTTGATTGTCATACTCTTTTCTCTCCTTCAAAAATTTCTAGATTACACTTGTCCCGTGTCAGCGTCAGTGCTCTCCTATTGTGAAGATATGTTTTCTTTTTAAATTATAGGAAATTTCAGGCTGATAAAACATGATACAATTCAAAAGCAAGCACAATTTGATGCAAATAGATGTTTGTGACATAACCTCAAAATAGAGCGCTGACACGGAGAAGTAGAAAACTATGACAATCAAGGAGACCATAAAGGCGCCCTACAATTGTAGGGACGACTGACGATACGGGCCTAAGGCACTTCGTCCAATATTAATCGTTTAAAGCCCTGTTCGTACAGCTGTCACTAACTTGTCACACAAATTCCGCACGGGTATCACGTATCTTGAAAAGTGACATTATGCCGATTTTTTTTGACACTATGTAGGTCTTTCTACAAGATATCAACTTAGCACTTAGTTGTACGTGTTGCCTGTTTTTGACAGATGACGCGTGAATCGTGTCTTGTGTCATTGTCAAACGTATTCAGTTTGGTCTATAATTTAACCATGAATCGACTTACGAACGAACAACGCTTGCAAATTATTGAATTTTACTATCAAAATTCATGCTCGGTTAAGAGAGTGCATCGAGCACTGCTTCTAATTTATGGGCAATTTGGTCGGCCTACTGAGGGAGCTATTCGGAAGCTTGTGACTAAATTTTGAACCCAGTTTACATTATTGGACATTAAACCACCAACACGCAGATGTAGAGTGAGGACTGAAGAAAATATTGCGGCTGTATCCGCCAGTGTTAGTGATGACCGTGAAATGTCGATTCGCCGCCGTCCGCAGCATTTGGGCCTCTCTTACTCCACTACGTGGAAAATTTTGCGACAGGATTTGGGTGTAAAACCTTATAATATACAGCTGGTGCAATGGTGCAAGAATTGAAGCCACACGACCTCCCACAACGTTTCCAATTTGGTGAAGTGGCAAAGTTGGAGGAAGATCCACATTTTTATCGAAAAATTGTGTTCAGCGACGAAGCTCATTTCTGGTTGAATGGGTACGTTAACAAGCAAAATTGCCGCATCTGGAGTGAAGACCAGCCAGAAGCATTGCAAGAGGTACCAATGCATCCCGAAAAAATCACTGTTTGGTGTGGATTATGGGCCGGTGGCATCATCGGGCCGTACTTCTTCAAAGACGACAATGGCCGGAACGTAACTGTGAATGGGAGCGTTACCGTGCGATGATAAAAAAATTTTTTTTGCCCAAAATGGAAGAGATGGACTTGGCTGACATGTGGTTTCAACAAGACGATGCCACATGCCACACCGCACACGAAACAATGGCCCTATTGAGACGCGAGTTCGGTGAACAGTTTATCTCACGTTTGGGGCCCGTCAATTGGCCACTTAGATCGTGTGATTTAACGCCGTTGGACTATTTCTTGTGGGGCCATGTTAAGGCTAATGTCTACAGGGATAAACCAGCAACGATTGACGCACTGGAAGCCAATATTGAAGCATTTATTCGTGAGATACCGGCCGATATGTTGGAGAGAGTGTGCTAAAATTGGACCTTGCGCATGGGCCATCTAAAGCGGAGCCGCGGCCAACATTTACATGAAATAATCTTCAAACATTAAATTATATCGACCGTTCTATCGACTTAAATAAAGATTTAATCGTTTTTCGTATGCTTATTTGCGGATTATTTTCATACATATTTAAAGCAATATCCATACGATGATTTCCCAGTGGCCTTCCTGAGCCCTGCATGCGCTGAAAACTTCCATGGTTTGACAAATTCCGCTGAATATCAGTAAACATTCGACGTCCAGGTACTATGCGATTGGGAAATCTTCTTTGATATTCTCTTACGGCTGCCAATGAACTGTCATTGCAAAACCCGTACACACAATTCATGTCAGTCAGTTCTCTGTCTGTAAATCTTGGCGTTTTAAATCGATTAAATACAATTTTTGATTTTAATCTTGTCAAAATAAGTCATAACAAATCAAAACAACTTTTGTTTGCAGTCATGGCTAACTATGTATAATCAACAATTCATTTGAATTCGCAGAACATTTCCTATCATGTGACAAATTTTTTAGTTTGATTTTATTCAAAAATGGCACACTTTATCGATATTCAATAAGAGTAGCTTTTTTATATAGAAAACCCTAAATTTTCAAATTCTAGAATTGAATTCCAAAAATAGAATCCCACAAAAATTTTGGGGCTAAAATAACCTGAGTCCGTCCCTGTTACGTACGCTTCCAAACAAAACTGTCTAAAATTGTTAATATTTTTAAATCTAGCATAAAAAACCATCTTCAGGGGAGCCCCTTTAAAAGACCGTAGCGCCCTTAGGGGATGTTTGTCGACCTATGTTTATGTAAACTTTTCTTCCTATTTTAAGCTCTAGAAACCGCTGGTAGAATATAGACTTTTTTGGGACACGTTAAAGTGGGAGCAAACGTGGAACGACTGTTTGCGCCCTAAAAACTACCTAGTTTGCAAGAAGACATATGATAGGTTTTTTTGACGTTTTATAGGTTTTTTACATGATACCCATGGCGTAGACGGAATTCACACCGACATCACCGATAAGTCACCGACCGCTGTACAAACAAACCATAATTAAACTTTATAGCCTTGACACAAGGATCCATGCTTTCCGCTGCTGGATTTGTCATTCTTGTCTAATGATATTAGCAAATTTCCCCGAAATAATTGTAAAGTCTGGTTTTATTGATGCAAGTTGTTCAAATGGGTATTTACAACATGGGCGCATAAAATGGGTACACCAATTTTTGTGGGAAAACTTTTTTCAATCAAAAGTACTGATAGGAACGGAAAACCTTTTCAAATAAGAGTTTTAGGTATTTATGTAGTAAATAGTAAAAATGCAGGTTATGGCTTTTGTTGCTAATGCGACGATAATTTCACGCAGCTACTTGAATTCTCCAAATCCGTGGGCCTCATACTTCTAAATAGGGGTCAGATGGATGTGGTGTATATGGATTTCTCAAAGGCCTTCGATAAGATTAGTCACCAAAGAATCATAGGTAAACTTCAGCATTTAGGTTTTAGCAATCATTTATTAGATTTCATTTCTTCTTACTTGTATGATAGAGGTCAGTACGTTTCTTACAATGATTTCAAATCTTTACCTTACTCGGCCTCATCCGGTGTACCGCAGGGATCAAATTTAGGCCCTCTTCTCTTTCTTTATTTTATCAATTACCTCTTTAACTGCTTAACCTGTCCCTCTCTGATGTTTGCCGATGATTTAAAAATATATGCTCAGATTAACAGTATTGATGACTGTCTAATCTTGCAAGCTGACCTGAATCATATATTTGAATGGTGTTCAACTAATAAATTATTTTTGAATGTTAGCAAATGCAAGACCTGTTATTTTACCAGGAAAACGAATCCGATAGTTTTTGATTACACACTGAAAGGTGTCAGTTTGATGCGTTGTTCAGAAGTAAGAGATCTAGGTGTGATGTTTGACGTTAAATTAGAATTTACAGGCCATATTAGTACAATAGTATTATCCGCTATAAAAATTCTCGGTTTGTTTATAAGAAACTGTAAATCGTTTGGTAGTGAAACGGCACTGCAGGCTTTATACTGCACCTTGGTACGTTCTAAGCTGGAGTATGCATCTAGTGTATGGCATCCATATTACGAAATCTAAGTGTACAGAGGAGATTTCTTAAATACTTGACTTTCAAATTAGATGGTGTCTATTCCAATCGTGGGACACCCCAATCAGCGATGTTGCTCAGATTTGAAATGCATCCTCTTGAGCTGAGAAGAGTTTGTAATAGTTTAAAATTCCTCGTACACAGTGATGTTGATTCTTCAGCTTTATTAGCTAAAATTGATTTTCATGTACCGTCCCGCATTTCCCGAAGATTTCTCGCTTTTTTACTTAAAAACACCAATTTCTAATGTTATGATTAAGTCATCCGTGTACTTTATGTGCTCCAGCTGATAATTGTGACATTCATTATGATAAAGTCAAAGATATATTAGCTGTATTCAGCGACTACTATTATTCAATGTATAACATTGTGAGTAGGTCTAGATATTCACTTTTCTCTTTCATTTTTTTTCAGAAACTGGGCGAACTATGATTGTAGCTAAGAATACGTCAAATGGTATTCAATTACATTGTCCTTTAAATGGATGTATCTGTTGGGCAATAAATATATTATTATTATTATTATTATTATTATTATTAAATAACCACAACTGAATTGGACTTGATTGGTGAAGTAGTTTTTGAGAATTTTTAATCGTTTATCCCAAAACACCTGCTTTCCGGCCAACATTACTAGTTTCTGAGCAATATATAGAGTTCGTTCAAAGGGCATTTTCTAGCGATATACACGAGTAAACCTTGTCGACATGAATCACAAACCATTCCAAAAGGTAATTATTATTCTTATGCGAAAAACAAAGGGGATAAGCAATCAAAGATTCTCAAAAACTACTTGACCAATCGACTCCAATTTCGTTGTCGTTATTTAGAAGTATGAAGCCTACGAATTTGAATAATTTTAAGTACTTGCGTGATACTATCGTCGCATTACCAAGTGCTAAAACCTGCATCTTGCCTCGGTTTTCGGTCATAACATTTTTACTATTAGTCGGATCTTTTTACGCGTGGTCTCATTCTGTGGGTCTCATAAATACCTAAATATCTTATTCAAAGAGTTTTTCCGTTCCTGCCAGCACCTTTGATTGAATCCCAAAAACACATTTTCTCATTTTTTGTGTACCCATTTCATGCGTCCATGATCTAAATACCCCCTTGAACAGATGGCATCAATAAAACCAGAATTTACAATTATTTCGCAAACCAGGGGTATT